AAACTTTTGAGAGGGAACGTACCCCAAGAGCCGCCTGTGGCTCGCGAGCCGCAGTCTGCCGACCCCTATTCTGGAAGGTGAGAAGCCTAGCAAACCAAACTGAGGGATCTCGAACAATACATCTATCACCTTGTTTGTGAACAAGCTCTTGTGATAAGCCACTGCACATTATGTTTATGTTTTATTCCCCAAACTTGTAACATCCAATCCCAGGAAATACTGGGTTGATGTTTGGTTTCAGGCTCTCATTGGAGGCAGTTGTGAGAGATGGATGTGAGTGGAAGAGAGCGTCTAAAATAACGAGTAAGGACCGGCCCCCAGAAGGATGGGTGATAATACAGTATTTAGAAAAACTGTCCAGAGTTACACTACCCCTGTGGGCCAAAGACGTCTTGCCTTTATGAGGGTAGTCGACTGAATGCCTGTGCTGCCCCTGGTTCCTGATCTCCTTCTCTGTGACAACCTTGGTCAATGTTGGGTGCGAGATCTGTGTATCAGGATTTGAGCAGAACTAGAAGCACAGATATGTAGCATGAGGGGTGAGTTCCGGGGTTTCGACCACTGTGTGATCCAGTGAAGATGTCCGTGGGAGCGTGCTACTTCTGTGCCTGATGACGGGCTGAAGCCTCTGTGGGTCAGCAGGCCGAATGGGGAGAAAAGCTGGGCCTGAGGTGCAGGTGAGCAAGAAAGAATGGAATCAGGAAACACTAGAACCCGCATTTGCCTTTTACCAACCTCCATGCTAGGAGTGACTTTGGAGAAGGATCTCTTGCCCAGTGCCGTGAAGCTGAACTTGGGAAGTTGGAGGCTGTAGGAGCTGCAGTCACAGCTGCTGGCCAGAGTTAAGGTGAGCCACCAGGTCAGTGAATGTGTGTGCCGGCGGCCATAGTGCCCGGGGCCCAATTCAGAGTGTAATGGAGGCTGCTTCACGTCTGCCTTCCAAATCTCACGCAAATTTCTCTCAACGCTAACCTTACGCTAGTGTCAAACAGGAAGGGGAACTCTGCAAAATGTAGTTTCTGATGTAGCTACGTTATACTTTACCAAAACACCACAGTCCATCCTGGCCAACTTGGCACCCATCTGCACGTCTCTGAACTTCCAAACAGGCATAACTTCCAAAGACTTTAGAAAATGATGTTCACACCTAATAAGAAGCAACTGTCACTTCTACAGTTGAAAACACACTAACCCTCTCTCCAAAAGAGGATACATATCCCCATGTGCTACTTCATCCGTTCTTGGGTGATGTTCACTTCTCTTCTGGCTGAGACCCACCCTCCCTTTGATAGCCTGTAATGGACATACTGAAATATAAGGATATTATAGATTGAGCTGTGCTTGCCAAAAAGATGCTTTCAAAATTTAAATCCCAGACCTTGTGTGAGCTTATCTGGAAATAGGGTTTTTGCAGATATAATCATGTTTTAAAGAGGTCATATTGGATTAGCGTGGGCTCTTATCCAATTACTGGTGTCCTTCTAAAAAGAGGACAATTTGGACACACACGAAGGAATGAATGCCATAAGATGAGGGAGGCAGAGACTGGAGCGATGTATCTCCAAGCCAGGGAACATCAAAGGTGGCTGGATATCTCCAGAAGCTAGGACAGATGCACAGAACAGATGCCTCCCTCAGAGCCTCCAAAGGAAGGCTAAGACTTTGATTTTGGATTTCTAGCTTCCAGGCTGTAGGAAAATAAATTTCTGTTGTTTTTAAGCCACCCAGTTTGTGGGACATGAGAGTATAAGAGGTGTCCTTTGTCCAGATATACTTCTTCTTACTCCTCTAATGTAGTGGAAACCCAATTTCCCCTTGATAGTTATCCCAGCCAACTGTCATCCCATCCCATTCTTTGTCTGTTGGTTCTTTAGCATGAGGAGCCCAAAGTGGCTGGCAGGCAGTATCAGTTTAATGTAGCATTTCTGGGTCTCCCAGCACTAGCATCTTTCCTTGGGGAACTAAGCCTTCTTTTCTAGACAGGTCCCCAAAGATCTTCTGTTCTGTCTTTAGCTAACTTGAATCTGTCTTTCCTTGTTTTGGCTGGTAGGGAGAATATCACTGAATGGAGGAGTAGGAGGGACAATGTCAGGATCAGTGATACAATAGCAGCAAAATAATTATTATTAAAATTGAAATGCTCTGCATTTCAATGGCACTTTCTTTCCCAAGGTCTGATAACACTTTTCTGCGTAACGCTTTTGAATTCAAAAGCATTTACTGAAGAAGACAGAGCAAAATATAATTATATTGAATTTTTACTCTGAAATAGAATTCAATTCATACAAAGTAGACTTATTGGAAATAGAATTACAGGCATACACGTGAATGTTTTTATGGTGTCTTCTTGAGAAAGGATGTCCCAGGGTATGGGGACATCCAGGTAAGTCTCTGAGGATAGCATTAAGCAGAGGTGCTAACACATTTCCATGTGATGGATAGGGAAACGGGTTAAACTTGTCAGGCAGCAGATTGAGATGAAAAGCAAAAAGGAACATCCCCCTACCCTAGTTAGTCCAACACACCTGCTAGAGGCATTTTAAATGACATGGTCCCAGGACTCCAATAAAAGATTAACTGTTTTATTCCTGGAATAGCAAGGGCAGCTAAGATGTTTCTTGTAAGATGGAAGACATATAGATAGAATGAAATCCCAAGAAATGCCTAAGAGAGCAGTTAAGAGGTAAGCAGGAGGGGAAGGTACAGGCTACAGGGTTATTGTTTTTTTTCCTTCAGTCTTTGGACTACTGTGAAGATTATAAATGGACGTAGGCGTTTCTGTGACCCTCCACAATCACATGTAAATTGTGAATGTGTTTGAACACATTCATTATGATGAGGGTGTCTGTACCTTACGTCAGATTTTAAAATGGTCTCAACCAATTGGGTTAAGAACTGTCTGCCTAGAGAGATAGCTTGAGGACATAGGTTTGACATTGCTCTGAGAAGCCCACCCCACTTTTTACTAGCTTCAACCTAGTCTGGATCTTGCTTACCCCTCCAGCCTCAGCTGAAAGGCAGCAGGAATAGTGATAACATGGCAGACTCTGGAGAAAGATTGCCTAGATTTAGCTCCACACCCCGACAACTCTGTGGCTCTGGTGACCTTGAGCAAATTACTCGGTTACTTAACCCATCTGCAGCTCAGTTTCCTTATGCCTAAAATGGGGGTGATAATAATAGTATCATGTCATCTGGTTTGGGGGCACACTACGCTCCACCCCATTTGGCTTCTGTTATCTCAAACACCACGTTCCTTCTCACCTCAGGGTCTTTTGCACAAGCTATTCCTTCTGCCTAGAAAGTATGTTGCCCCATTTTTCCCTGGATCGCTACCGTACTGCCAATCCCATGGTCTCAGCTTAACTTTCGCTCCACAAGGAAAGCTCTGACCCCCATAGCTTGGTTCAGTGCCTCTCTGCTATGGTCTCTGTGACCCAGTGGTGTGCTGGAGTTGCCTCACAGTGGCTAAATGGGAGCTGACTGTTAAATGTTCTGGAATTTTGTAAGCTGACAACTGCTGGTGGCTTGACATCAACCATGGTGGCAGTATTTACATCATGAAAAATGGCAAATGCTATGTAGCAACACTTTTTTTTTTTTTTACAGATTTTTATTGGGGAATTGGGGGATGGGAACAGTGCTGGGGAATTGGGGGAAGGGGAATAGACAAGTTGCTGTCCTTTTGTTCTTCAGTCTAGTTGTGGAGGACATTGCTTCACTGGCCCAAGTTGGCACCATCATTACGCTCTTCCCGAGCGAGGCAGATCAGTCACCAGCTTCTGGACGGCCGCTCACGGCAGCTGCTGGCTACACACGGTAGCCCATGGCAACCCACTGCCACAGGGGCTGCAGCCTACGCCGTCGCCTGTGACTCACAGCAGCCCAGCTCCAGGTTGAGCTGTTGTTCAGCATCTTAGCTGTGAAGGGCAGTGTCACTGGCCCTCATATGTGGGATCTGAACCGGGGCCCTCTGGCATCCCAAGCGAGTTCTTAACCATCGCGCCACTCGGCCGGCCCTCAACACTTGTTTTTTTTTAAAGCTGGCTTGCCAACTATCACTATACGTAGCATCCTATAGATCTTGTCACAATTTTGATTATGCAGTTATTTCCCTGATCATTCACTTAAGGTCTGGCTCTCTCACCACGCTGTAGGCTCTGTGAGGCAGGAATTCTCATTATGCTTGTAATACTTAACACAAAGTCTGGCCGGGCCTTCACTCTGTTAAAGAAACAGATCCACGAAGAAGACCGTCTGGCAAGTGGCGCTTATGCTGCTCCCCTGGGCAAGAAGAGAGTTACTCAGGAATTAAGGAAGTAGAATCAGTGTCGACACACTTCTCCTGCTACTCCTTTCCACGTGTCATGTGATGCTGGTGGTATAGCTCTCGCCGTGGGGCCATCAGAAGTTCCTGACAACCATAGGACTTGAGCGATCACGTGGGGTGGGGAAAAGTCCACCATTTTTACAACCATCCTTCTTGGTAATCTGGAGAGCCTTAGAGTGCCCCGAGATGCTACCATGTGTGTGCCTCATTTGCTGCTGAAACCAGCAGCATTAGGTGGCGTGCTGTGATGTAGCACTGCCTTTGGATGTGCTCCAGGGTGATGCTGTGACTGCCACCCCTCGGTACTTTGCAGTTGAGAGAGGACAGCATCACATGGGTGGTTTTCATTGCCTGAAGCCCATGAGTTGGGAAAATTGAAAGAACTCAAAACAGACAGCCCATCGGGCTTATCAGATGGAGAAACTGGGCCTATCCCAACAGCTGAGCTGCAGCAGCCTGGGTACCTGCCCCCTGGGTCTTAGTGCCTTCAAACCCTGAGAGTGACCTTCATGGCCAGCATTCCCTGCCAAAGCACCTGGAAAGTCAGCGATTTCCTTTCCTCTCTGAGGCAGTTGACCTCTGCTGAGGCCAGCTCCCACTCAAAATTGACTCCAGTGGATCTGCCGAAGACAGAGTGTTGATTGCTCTCAGGCAGAGATTTTTGCCAGGCCGGGCAGACTTGGCATGAATGAAAAGTGGGTTCCGTGGAGACAAGGCGAGCAGCTGCAGGAAGGCACCACGCCACTTTGCCACCTTGAGGGTGCCATCACTGAGCTGGACCTACGTGAAAAATGCGTCTCCATAACAATCAGTAACCGCAAACACAGCAGAATATCCTGTCACCCCGGGGGAGAGGCCCTCCCAGTCTAGAATCCTCATCCCCTATCAGGCTTGACGGACCATCAGGATGTGGCCCAGAGACTAACCTTCCAGACCCTCCAATGCACACACCTCAGGGCAATTCCTAGAGGTCAAGTTGCAGACAATCAAGGGCTTTCAGGCTGGAAAGCAGATGAGTTTATCCAGATACCATCCTGGGAGCCTGAGAAGTTGTGAAATTTTCTGATCATCAGGCATTAGGAAACCCAAGCAAACAAACAGCTAGTCCAGTGACCTCACAGCCTTCTCAAACCAGCTGAGCTCATCTGGAAAGCCTATTCTCTTCACTGCCCTCCCAGAGGCAAGGCTGAGAGCCTCCTGGAGGGGTACTTCTCAAGCTTTAATGCTTGTTAAAGGACAGGCTCTTAAAGATGTAACTGAAAAAAGAAAAAAAAGGCAGGTTCTGATTCAGTACACCAGAGGCCTGAGACTCGGCATTTCACACTTTCAGGAGTGCCAAAGCTGCTGACCTCAGGACCACACTTTGAGTAGCAGGTCTCAGAGGACACATTCCACAAAGAGGTAATTACCATGGAGCTGAGTGGCCACAGGCGCTGGGGACGGCTGTCTCTGGGACCCACTGTGGGCTCTGCCGATGGGTCTGATTTTATTCTCCACACCGATTTCTAGAAAACAGAAGGATAATAAAATCTGAGACATGGAGATAATAATACCTGGTGTTTTTTTCCCCTCAGCTCCTCAGCAATATCATGAGAAAAAAACGTAAATTTTTTTTTTAAGTTGTTCTTGTTGAAATAGAAGCCTTACAGACACACTGCATTCCCTCCATCCCCTCAGCTGAGTTGTCTTCTTTAATGGGCTGGTGCAAACCTGTGGCTTGGTTAATCAGGGCCCGCACGTGTCAGGATGCTTCACTGGGGCCGGTGTGGTTTTTCACCCCTGAATTGTGTATCTGACAGCCTGTGTGGGGCTAAAAGGCCACGGCATTCTCAGCTTTAGTTAAGCAACACCCCAATCCTCCAGCTTAAAGCTAAACCCCCCTTTTACTGCCCTGAAAGTACTTGCTAGCTGAGGGCACAGTGTTTCCTCAGGGTCAAAGGCGCCGGCACAGATGGGACTGCTCTGGGCTGGCTCTCCTATATTTAACACGGCCCTAATTACCCACAGGTCTCTGAGTGAGGACGGCTGATGAGCAGTTCAAGTTCCCCGCATAGAAATAGCCCCAGAATAGTTCCAGTGTTGTTTCTAATTGCAATGACTGAGCAGGCTGTCTCATTAATCCTCCTCTATCAGCGTGCACACTGGCTGCCCGAGAATAGCCCTGAGCTCAGCCAGCCCACAGCCGGCTTTGGGGCTGGTGGTTTTGTACATATTTGGCGCGGAAAGGATCTTTTCCCCGGGGATGGGGTGTGTGTGTGTGTGTGTGTGTGTGTGTGTGTGTGTGTGTGTGTGTGTGTGTTTGGGGGTGAGGAGCAGTCAGTCTATGGATTCTGGAATCTTAGGTTAACACGGAAACAGGATGTGGGCACGTAAAGAATGCTACACTGAGTCTAGGCAAGGTTGGTTCCGAATAGGCATGAAGTAGCTGAAACATGTCCTTCGAATGTCCCCAGCATGTTCTTGTGCCCTTTTACCTCTCTGAGTGAATATTTACTCTGTTCAGTTCTCCTTGCTCTGCCCTTTCTGTCTCCACTCAGTGCAGGATCTGATATCAGTCACGTACACCTTAGTATGAATGCACCACTAATAGGTTCACACATGTTTACAGCTATCTGATTTACAAAGGTTATGTTCCTTTACACATCCATTCTCTCAGGCCCTCAGCAATCTTCTGAGGTTAGCAACCGCAGGCATTATTCTCAAGAGGAAATTGAGGCTCAGGAAGTAACATTTTGTGAGCACCCTAAGATCACACAGTTAGCAAATGACAGATCGAAACACAAACAAAACAAAACAAAAAAGCCAACCAGATCTTTTCTCTGATAGTTCTGGGAGATACTTGTTTCCTTGGTAAGAAATATAGTACCTTAGTTACCGTCGGGGTGATGCCATAGAAAGAGAAGACTCTGGAATCAGACAAATTGGGATTTCAATCTCTGTGACTTCGGGTATGTTGTGAGGATTAAATAAGGCAATGCACATGAAGAACCGCTACTCAGCAAAGTGCAAGGAAGGAGGGGAACAAAAAACTCTGACTCCACCATGCTCAGCTACTTTCCCCTGGAGAGAAGGAGATGAACCTTCCAGAGCACAGGAATACCTGGACCAGACTTCCTTCTTCTCCTCCCTACCTCCCTCCTTTCACCCCTTCCGCCGCCTTTCCCTCACCAACCATTCAGGAAGCCCGTTGTATGTGCTGGACTATGTGAGAGATACAGTCATTTGAAAGTCAGGGTGCCCTCAAGTTCCAGGCCATTAAACCCAACCCACTGTCTTTTATATCCAACTAGTTCTACGGTCTAGAGGCACAAGAGAAAGAGCTCAATAGAAGGGAAGAGGATCGTAAGAAAAATTTGTTGAGTACCTATTAGGCCCTGGGCACTGTTGGATGTTTACATAAAAATATATGATAGCATTATACATTAATATTATATCATGTGTTAATATTACATAGACAATATATACCTGTATGTGTAAAATTTTATTTAATTTTCACAGAAAACCCGTGAGGCATTCTTCCCATTACAGAGAAAAAGAAAAGTTCAGGAAAGGTAAACAATTTTACTAAAGGAAAATATTGTCTCAACTTATACACTGTCAGGAGGGACTTTAAAATTAACGTGTTAAAGATGTTTAAGCATGAAGCAAAGGAAATAATCCAGAGAATAACAATAGGAAGTTATGAGGAAGAACAGACACATGGAAGAGGAAAAATAGAAATTCTCAAAGACGGAGGGGGGGGGAGTAATTAAATATAATACAATGCACAGGTTAAACAGTAGCTTTACAAGGAGAGAGATTAATATTAATAGATTGGAACATAATGCTGAGTAAACCACTTAAAATGTACTACATGAAGATAAGTAGAAAAGTTAGAGGAAAAGTTGAAAATATAAAGAGGACAGGACAGGTTTCGACAAATGTCTAATAGAAATTCCAGAAAGAGTGACTAACGACAATGAGGTTGGTAATATTCAAAAAGGTGGTAGGAGAAAGTCCAGGAAATTATAGGAGGCATTGGACGCAGATTGAAAAACAGCAATCAGTACCAAGAAAGATAGATTTATTAAAAAATTAATACTTAGATAAACCATAAAGAAACTACAGAATATCAAGGAAAATTTGAAGACCTTGAAAGCTACCAGAGAAGGTTTAATTTCTAGTAAAGAAGAACTAGTAATCTGGGCCAATTCTTCTACTGAAAATAATTAGTAAGTCTGGACAAAGCATAAACAACAAGTGTTTGAAAACATCAGAGAACTAATGAGGTCATTCTGAATCATGAAAACAAAATCCAGGAGATCCAGGGAGGTAAGCTTCGTATGTGGGGGTGTTTTTAACCGTAATCCATCTTCCAGTTCTGGAAAAGGCAGCTGAGAGGCTGAAAAGTTGAGCAAAGCTACTGGCAGACTGAGAAGACTAAGGGCAACATTGGGGTTCAGAGTCCCTCGAGGAGGGAAGGACACTGGTAAATCTCCCAGGTTCTGGATAGGTAGCTCAAGGGATCATAGACTTGGACTAAGAGCACATAATGACTACACTAACTCTCATAGAGCTTGTGATCCAGCTTTGCAGCATGTAAATAAATTATTGGATTAAGGTGAATCTGGGATTGAGAGTCCTCCCGGAGCTAGCCAAGCTGATAGATACAACATCATCCAGAGTTTCAAATTATCTGTACCATTTCATGTATATCTATATATGACCACATATAAATGAGGGGACATGACTGCAAAACAAGAGAATGACAGAAAATAAAAATAGACCCACAGAGAGTCTAAATAATGCACTTTCTGACATGGGCTTTAAATTATAGGCTCACTTCATAATTCACGATAGCCTGAGAATTTGGGAAGAGGACTAGACACTTAAAAAAAAAGGAAATTATATTAAGAAAGTATAGTAAGTGAAATTAAGAAATCAATCAATGGATGGGTTTCACAAAGATTAGGCGTAGGTAAAGAAAGAATTAGGGAGCTGGAAAAATAGATTAGGAGAAATTTTCTAGACTAAAGGATGAAAAACCAAAAAGATGGAAAACACATATGAAGTAAAATACATATAAAGAAATATGTGAGTCAAAGATATGCATAGAGGATATGCTTGCCATACTGTGAAAGGTCTAATATATGTGCAGCTCAAGTCCAAGGAGGAGAGAAATTGGAGAAAAGAAGGGCTATTGGCCTAGGCAATGGCTGCTATTTCTCTGAAACATCAAGATAGAAATTCAAGAAGTACAATGAGCCCTAAGAAGGATACATAAAAATGAAGTCACACTTAAACACCTGATAGGTAAGCTTATTAAAAAACAAAAATGAAGGCCGGCCGAGTGGCTCAGTTGGTTAAGAGCTCGCTCAAGAGTGCGAGCTCTGAGCAACAGCATCGCTGGTTCAATTCACGGCCTGAACTGAGCTGCCGCTGAGCTGCCAACAGGTGGCAGGATGGCTCAGCTTAAAAAAAAAACAAAAAACATAAAAAACAAGACAAAGGGACAATCTTAACAGTCACCAGAGGGGGGGAAATGACAATTACATTCATTACTCTTAAGAATAATACGTAACATTTAAATATGAAAGAATTTTCTCTTTTTTGGAATGTGAGATTTCTACATCATAGCTCATTTTTTTCTCTCCAGGATTTCTCTTCACTGGATGTTAAACAAAGCTAAACTGACCTCCCTAATTATTAATTGTTTGGGAATCTCATTCATTCATTCATACATTCAACAAATGGCCACTGTGTGCCAGGCACTGCTCTAGGACAACGAAGCGACTGCAATATATTACAGTGACACTTAATAGGATTTATTTAAACCACTACTTTTATTTTTCTTGCTTTCAATTCTTTCTCATTTTTTCCCTCTCTGTCTCCATGTACTCATTCAAGGAAAACATGAAAGGCACATATACCGTACACATCCCTTGATCAATATGTGTTCTGAGGGCAATAGCTCCATCTAAGACCACACTTGAATTCAAGATGGAGCTGCCTTGTGGATTCTGTGCGGGAATGACTTAGAGAAAAGGGCCTACACTGTGTTCCCTGGAGCAATGAGAGCCCACACTGTCCTCAAACGGACTCTTACATTTATAGGCAAAAGGTGGAGTTAATGAAGCTGTTGAGAAAGGACCAGGAGGGCAGTTTCCAGGCTCTCGGCCTCACATGGAAAGGTGCTGGCTCGGTTATTAGATGGCCATGAGCTGTAACCAGTTGGTCATCAGCTACTATTATTTTGCATATAACTGCCGCGGCTGCGTTAGCAAGCGTGGGTGTCGCAGATGGTGCAGGTCCTGCGGATCCTACTTCCTGTGCCTCACCGGGCCTCCAGTGAGACTGGTGCAGGAAGACCCCTTGTTGGGGTATTGATGGATGTTTGCTTCTTGTGTCTCGACCAGCCACGAATATAATATAGTGGTATGAGCCCCCTATCTGTGGCTCCGTTGTTGTTCCTTTTGGGCCTCATTGAATCCTGCGTTCATCTGCCAGGAGCTGAGCCCCAGGATGACAAAGCCATCCCAAAGAAACGCGCAGAGTTGCCTGTGTCCCCGGAGAGGCATTTGGTTGAGTCATTCGCGACATCAGATTAGATCCTGGGGTTGTTTTCCATTTCTTAGGTGTTGTTACTTTGAAAAGGAAACAGAAGGCAAATGTCACTGTCACTTCTGTCCTTCGGTCTCTGATCAAACCCCCTCCCCCACAGCAAGCGTGCATCAGCCCTAAGAGATAATGCTAAAAACTTTTACCAAAAAGCTGAAGGGTCATTGTCGATTATCGTATCATTTGGGGGTCCATACTCACCTTTTTTACAACTCTTAATAACATGAAATAACCAAAACAAAGTGTCTTTTTCTTGCAGGTCAACCCAGCTCTTTCTCTAAACATGACAATGGACTGGTTTCATTGTACCCAACCTTGAAATACCCCGCGATTTCCTAGTGGTGGGGTGGGGAGTGGACTGAAGAATTACGGCAGTTATTTAATTAACAGCCTCTCACAGCTGTTCCCAACAGGAAAGAGGAAGAAGGCTACAGACAACTGTTGGGACCCCAGATGAGGACACCACCATGCCAATGTTATTTTGAATACAAAACCCCCTTTGCCAAGAGACCGTAATCCATTTTGGGAGAGGGCTGTCTAAAGCTGTTTGGCCTTCCAAAGCAACACTGCCCCATATTATTTTCTCTTTTATATTTAACTCTTTTGTGTTTGTGTAGGGAGGCTAGAATGTGTTGCCTAGAGGGAGACAGACTGAAATACGGAGGATTAAGAAAGGGAAGGGCCAGATGATCCACTATCCTTCCTTCTGGCCGGTGACTGTCCAAAGTACTCTAATTTATTGGCAGTCACCTATTACTTGATTGACAATGCGTTCTTCCAACTTAATGAGGAAAAAGAATGTGCAGTAAAAAAATGTACGTAGAGGGCCGGCTGAGTGGCTCCTTGGTTAAGAGTTGGCTTGGGAGCACGAGCTCTGAGCAGCAGGGCCCCGGTTCGGATCTCACATATGGGCCAGTGATGCTGCGTCCTCTACAGCTAAGATGGTGAACAACAGCTCGACCTGGAGCTGGGCTGCTGTGAGTCCCCGGCGACAGCGTAGGCTGCAGTGAAGCTGCAGTGGGCTGCCATAAACTACCACGCGTGAGTGGCTTGCAGCCAGCGTGAGCTGCCAAAAGCCTCTGTGAGTGGCTGTCCAATGGCTGGCGACCGATCTGCCTCACCCGGGAAGAGCACAATGATCATACCAGCATGGGCCAGTGAAGCGACGTCCTCACAACTAGATTGAAGAACCTAAGGGCAGCAACTTGTCTGTTTCCCTCCTCCAATTTCCCAATAAAATCTTTAAAAAAATAAAAAATGTACGTAGAGGCCACACGTAAGTGGGCATGAAATAATTACAGGATAAGCTACCAGGTCACTCTAGTCCAAAGGGCACGTGTAACAGATGGATATAGGACATTTCCAGGCATTCATCCTTCTCCACAATGGCAGGGACCTAGATTTTAGAATTGAGTTTTTCTTCCCATTATAGGGGGTGTAATTAAATATCTCCACTAACACTAGAGCTTCAAAAGATTTTGAGGCAACCAGCTAGAAATAAGAGCATATTCTCAATGAGAGGGAGGGGGGAGAGGGAGAGGGAGAGGGAGAGAGAGAATGCTACAGTGTTATCCAAATGGGAGAGAAAAGGCTTTCTTTGATAGAAAGAACTGGCAATCCATGGTTTGCCAAGTTTGTTGAAGCAAACCCCAGCCTCCCTGGCCACACCTTGGATGGGGTTCTCTTCAGGTATTTGCTCAAGGTCAACCTTGAGTTTGGAGCATGAACATGAGGATGAGATACAGGCAAGCAGGTATTGTGGATGGAAGTGCATAGGGTAAGGCCAGCAGGGGCACCCTGGAAAGGATGAAGATAACCTCAAATGCTGCATCACCTAAATGAGAGCAGAGAAGTGGTCCCTAGTTGAACTGGCTAAAGATCATCACCTGTTCCTTAGTGAGATGCAACTGGAAGTTACTACCCAAGAGGTATTTAGTGTCATTGGGTGAATATAATCATACTGGAGATTCTTGGGCACAGAGGTGGCTCTAGAATTTAAATGTAGGAAGACGTAACACTGGCAATCGGAATGGAGGAGGTAGCTGGGACCTTCACTGGAGGTTGCATTGGCGTTAAAAGCATAAGGCTTTTACGGAGGGCACACGTCTATTTGGGGCGGCTTGAGTGGGGCCTGAAGGCTGTCACTGGGTGGCCTCTAAAAGATTCTCCAAATCAGTGTTTGGTTCTACCCACTCTGCTCATATCATAGTGTGCTTTTAGTTAGTTATTTCTATCGTATTTTTCTCGTGCCCGCGTAAAGCTCTGAACATACACAACCTTTGGGGGATACTGACATAGACCCCACTGACAACAACAGCTCGATTATAGCATCCAGTGAGGGCAAACCAGGTAAGTGACTTTCTGAACCAATGCTGCTTTCACGAAGCTTCGTTACACTGGGTGGGGGGGGGTGCTATGTGTTACACGCAAACAGTACATTCATACTTTAAAGTATTTGTGGTCCCTTACTGGGTTGTTTGGTATGGCCAGTACTCTACTTCACGACACATACCCAACTTTCTGGGGGCTGCCTCTTACCCCAAATCACATGACGATAGCACTATGAGCCCAGGAGATGTCTGGAACTCGTAACTGTACTTTGGGTCACTGGTCACTGCATGGGGAATAGGGAATTGAGCAAGAGGGGCTATTTTGAGTCAGATCGTCAGGAATTTAGAATTAGGCAAGAGATGAGAGGACAGTTTCTTTCTGGGTAATTGGACACGCACTCTGTCAGTTTGGGAGATGGTGGTGTCTCTGACATGTGGGAGGAAAAAAAAAGAAAACATTTTCTGAAAGAACAGAGCTGCACTGAGAGGGGGTAGAGAGAACTGCCTGGATGTCTTCAACTTTTCAGTTCTTGATTCTCTTTTGTTTGCTCAGGGCAGGCTTTTTTTTTTTTTCTTGGCTTCTCTGAGCTGTTATCAACTCTTTACAATACGATTTTTCTCTCATTATTGCTTCGACATCCCCAAGTGGTTCTTGTTACTTACACCTTCAAGTGCTCTCACTTGGAAAGTGGCTCCAACATGTTTGTAATCCCAAGAAACTGGAACATCTGACATCTGTGAAATAGATCCCCCGTGCTGTGTCCTAATGTTCACTCGCCTCCCTATTGGTTTGTGCCTGTGGTTGTCTTTAAGTCTCTGTCGACTGTGAATAATCACTATGACTAGGTAACTCCTCATTTTAGTGTGTAGAGGTTGAGAATTAAGTACATTATACTCGTTGTCACTGATGATTCAACTTGACGCCATGGGCATAAGTTCAATGTTACTGTGCATGACGAGAGAACAGAAGGGTGAAGCGAAATCGACATGTGTGACTAATGTCTGGAAGTGAGTTCCCAGTCTATAGAGGAAACAAGAGATTGTCATCAGGCCACTTTTCTCATCCCAATTTACCCTGACAGCCATCTAATGAAGTTGTTATGGGTATCAAATTCCCCAAATGGAGACAATGAGGCCTAGAGAGGTATACGTCTTCCAGACCTTTTCAGAAAAGAATATGTGAGTAACCCCTCCCCTTTTGAGAAGCCTGTGCTCAGCTGCAGTTTTAATTATAAATAATATATGCTCATTAAACATGATTTTGAATATAGAAAACAACAACAACAAAAACCTCTTATTTCCTGTGGAAATATTTCAGTTGATGTCCTAAACACATAGTGATTCTTGGCATTATTTATATAGTTGTCCTCATGCTGTATGTGCAATTATGGAATTATTCCTAGTGCCTAACATGATATCAAAACTATTTCTTGGGTTATTATGAACCTTAGTAATAAGATCATTATTAGTCCTGCTGATAATTTTAATAATTGTATCGTATACCCTCTTGTATGCTATGTTTACTAAAATATGGTCTGGTTTAGATATTGAGGATGTGTCTGGTTTTTTTCACAACTCTGCACACCCCCAGCAGTATCTGTCAAATTAAAGACAACATGTCTATAATTACCTCCAAGGCTGCTCTCTCCTCTGACTGTATAGCCTTCTCACCCACGCTACTACCTCCTTCCTAGAGCGCTTGTCTTTGCACTAAGCTGATCATTTCAGAGGATACCAACTTTATTTTATTTTATGCTGCCTCCCCTCCTCACCCCTCAGCTCCCATCTGTAAAGCTGCTGTCATGTTATCTGGCCACCATCCATGTGTGGCTTTGCTTGCTTGTAATATTACCAGGTCCTCCCCACCAACACACTTACTATGACATGAAAGACTAGTAATCGCTTGTGGAAAGAGAAAGGAGGGGAAGAAACCAGAAAGCAAGCTGGGGGTGCACTAGCCCTGCTTTTAAATTCCCTGCTCAACTCAGTTACAGTTGTCTTACTTACTGAATGACTGCCACCAGTTTTAGTTCAGATGATGTTACCGGTTATTACTCCGCTTCTCGTCTTGCATGGCGTCCTTATTTATATTACGCCACAGTGAACCTTTCTAGTTTGTCGCCTCAACTTTTAGGTCCTATCTGAATGAGGACACAGACACTATGGAGCTTTTCAAATATAATATCTTTATGATGGGGCATGTATGGGGCATTTCAACCGGCTCTCTATTCAAGAGCGAGTCATTCAAGACACATTTCTTGCTTCTGAGACTGAGATGGTGCTGCATGCTTGAAATGCGATTCTCCTTTGGCTGCTCTCTCCTTTTCCTTGAGGCTTTCTGCCTCCTAAACGTCATTTTTAAAAAGACCAATAGGCAGTTGAAAACATACCTCTGACACCTTGTGAACTTGGTTGGATTTTAAAGGAGAAACAAGTGGGTTCAATGAGCAGACACATACAGATAAAGGACTATTCTTTCCAATTAAAGGATAATTCTATTGACTGTCACGCTGTAGGTCCTATGTTATGGGTTTTCTTTTCCTTTTAAACCAAAACATGACATCTTAGAGTGGGAAAGAAAAAGGGAAGCAGAGATGAGGACGAGGTCAGTCCTTATGGTTCCTCTTTTGGTGACAATGACTTCATCATCACCTAATGAGCAAGCTTCCTGCTTCTGGGCCTTCTCGTCTAGTTCCATGGGCAACACGCCCACAGACTGAGCAGCCTTGGGTCAAGCTTACTGAGAGGCACATAAACGCACACACGTTCAGCAAAACCACATTTCAGCATTACCTCAAAATTATTGTAATGTATGATAATTAGCTTGAATGCTTGAACAGTTTATGTAAATAACTAGAATCAGTATTATTTTTATACAGCCTAATCACATTTTACATATTTTTCTTCCCTGGGATAGTTATCTAATATCCCTAATCAGTATTAATATCACCAACGTTGCCTCAATCTGGGTACATTTTAGTCTTTGTTTTATTCACACTCTCTCTCTGAACACCTCTCACTTCAGATGATGAATGATATTTATGTAAACACTTTAACAGTGCCTCATATTAACATCATCCCAATAAATACTTTAAAAAAAAAGAAAGAAAGAGTAAACTGGGGTTGAGGGTGGTCTTAGAAGAGTGAGGACGTTGGTGATAAGATACAACGTGTTCAGACACTGGACAATAAGTCAGGACTGTGATTCCCTAAGAGAAGGGAACCTGATGAGATAAGTGACACAGTTACTTCAATTTTTTTCACAGAAGCGTTTTCTGGGCCAGCACGTGGGGGGAGGAGCCCAAGCAGGGCATCGCACTCAGAATTGGACAACGCAGAGACAAACGCCAAAGTCCAGATGCTGTGAGAGCAGAAAAGCCCGGGGGAGCTGAGGACAGTAGCGGCACACACGACAGCAGGGATGAACCTTGAAAACATTATGCTGAGGGCAGGAAGCCACACACAGAAGGCCACACTGTATACGGTTCCATTTACATGAGATAGTGGGGATAGGTGTGTTCATAGA